AGCCAGCATTTATTGCCCATCCCTAGTTGCCCTTGAGAAGGTGGTGGTGAGCTGCCTTCTTGAACCTCTGCAGTCCACCTGCTGTGGATTGACCCAAAATGTCTTTAGGGAGGGAATTTCAGGATATTGACCTAGCAACAGTGAAGGAATGGCGATCTATTCCCAAGTCAGGATGGTGAGTGGCTTGGAGGGGAACTTGAAGATGGTGGTGTTCCCATATATCTGCTGCCATTGTCCTTCTAGATGGAAGTGGTCATGGGTTTGGAAGGTCCTGTCTGAGGATCTTTGGTGAATTTCTGCAGTGCATCTTGTAGCTACTACACACTGCTGCTCCTGAGCAACGGTGGTGGATGGAGTGGATGCTTGTGGATGTAGTGCCAATCAAGTGGCTGTTTTGTCCTGGATGGTGTCCAGCTTCTTGTGTTGTTGGGGCTGCCCTCATCCAGGCAAGTGGGGCATATTCCATCATACTCCTGACTTGTGCTTTGTAAATGGTGTACAGGCTTTGAATTAGGTGAGTTAATCGTTGCAATATTCCTAGCTTCTGACCTGCTCTTGTAGCCACTGTTTTTGGTGAGTCCAGTTGAGTTTCTGATCAACGATAACCCCCAGGGTGTTGATAGTGAGGGATTCAGTGATGGTAACGCTGTTGAATGCCAAGGGATGGTGGTTAGATTCTCTTATTGGTGCTATTCATAACCTGGCATCTGTGTGGCACAAATATTACTTCCTCTCGTCAGCCCAAGCCTGAATATTGTCCAGATCTTGTTGCATTTGAACGTGAACTGCTTCAACAGATGCAAATGGTGCTGAACATTGTGCAATCATCAGCAAATATCTCACTTCTGACCTTATGATGAAGAGAAGATCACTGATGAAGCAGCTGAAGATGGTTGGGCCTAGGATGCTACCCTGATGAATTCCTGCAGAGATGTCCTGGAGCTGAGATGACTGACCTCCAACAACCATGACCATTTTCCTATGTGTCAGATATGATTCCAATCGCCAGAGAGTTGTTCCCAATGCCCATTGATTCCAGTTAGCGTTCCTTGATCCCACACTCAATCGAATGTAGCCTTGAAGTCAAGGGCTGTCACGCTCACCTCACCTCTGGAATTCAGGTCTTTTGTCCATGTTTGGACCAAGGCTGTAATGAGTTCTGGACTTGAGTGGCCCTGGCGGAACCCAAGCTGGGCATCATCGAGCAGGTGCTGCTTGATAGCACTCTTGATGACACCTTCCATCACTTTACTGGTCATCAAGAGTAGACTGTTGGTGCGATAGTTAGTCGGGTTGGATTTCTCCTGCTTTTTATGTACAGGACATACTTGGGCAATTTTTCATATTGTCGGGTAGATACCAGCATTGTAATTGTATTGGAATAGCTTGGCTAGGGGAGTGGCAAGTTCTGGAGCACAAGTCTTCAGTACTATTGCTGGAATGTAGTCAGGGCCCGTAGCCTTTGCATATCCAGTATCTCCAACCGTTTCTTGATAACATGTGGAGTGAACTGAATCGGATGAAGACTGGTATCTGTAATGCTGGGGACGATTGGAGGGGGCCGAGTTGGATCATCCACTCGTCACTTCTGGCTGAAGGTTGCTGCAAAAGCTTCAAACCTTATCTTTTGCAATGATGTGCTGGGCTCTTCCATTGTTGAGGATGGGGCTATTTGTCAAGCCTCCTCCGCCAGAGAGTTGTTTAATTGCCCACCACCATTCATGACTGGATGTGGCAGGACTGCAGAATTTAGATCTGATCCATTGGTTGTGGGATCACTTAGCTCTGTCTATCACTTGCTGCTTATGCTGTTTAGCATGCAAGTAGTCCTGTTTGGTGGCTTCACCAGGCTGATACCTCCTTTTCAGGTATGCCTGGTGCTGTTCCTGGCATGCCCGCCTGCACTCTTCATTGAGTATTATGCAACATTTTATTTAAAAGCACTTCCTCAACTTAATGCACTAACAACCTAATATGAAATTTTTTTTGTGACTTAGTTTTACTGTCTTTCTGTTTAAACTCCAGATATTGTACCTTGCTATAGTTGTGTGCAAGATTCATGGAGTGCTGCGCTCACTAATATCTCTTCAACAAAGTCTTAAACCATAACCCAGTCTGCCTCCTGTCGATATTTAAAAAGTTTACCAGTATTATTTCATAGAACAGGGAAGTTAGCCATCATATCCTGTCAAAAATGGATTAACTGGTCCTTTTCACATTGTTGTGAGTGTTGTGAGTGTTTTGTCATCGTTGGTTGCTATATTTTTCACATTATTTTTCACATGGCGGCACAGTGGTTAGCACTGTGGTCTCACAGCACCAGAGACCCCGGTTTGATTCCGACTTCAGGTGACTGTCTGTGTGGAGTTTGCACACGTGTCTGTGTGGGTTTCCTCCGGGTGCTCCCGCAGTCGAAAGATGTGCGGGCTAGGTGGATTGGCCGTGCTAAATTGCCCATATTGTCCAAGGATGTGTAGATTAGGTGGGTTATGGGGAATGGGTCTGGGTTGGATGCCGTAAGGGTCGGTGTGGACTTGTTAGGCCGAAGGGCCTGTTTCCACACTGTAGGGATTCTAAACAAAAGTTACCAGAGTGACAGCACTTCAAAGGTACTTCATTTGCTGTAAAGTGTATTGGGATGTACTGAGATCAGGAGAACTGTGTAAGTTTTTCTAAAGTAAATCTTGTGCAGGCCCTTGTGTGCTGCATTCACAAATGACATACTGGTCAAAGATTTATCAACAGCTTTGAGCAGACAAAATCTACCCCTCTTTTGAGTTCAATTCTTATTTAATGAGATTTTGCTTCTACACCTAGTTGTTTGAATGAAATTTTTATTCGGGGTTCTGCATTGAAAAACCTTTTTACCCAGACTGGTGAGAATACCAGCTCAATACCACAGAGTTGAGGGAGCTCACATAGATGCGTTTTTCAGGAAATTATATGACCGTAGAAAGGGCAAAAGAGTAAGTGTTTTGAGGTGCAACGAGTGTCGTAAAAGGAGGCCTGTGAAAAATATGTAGGGGAGCATAGACAGTTCAGGGGCAAATGACCTGTTTCTGTGCTCTGAGTCATGCAATTCTATGACCCTTTCTTGTTCCCTTATGCGTCAATTCCTAATGTCAGCTGTACAGAGTTGGAAAATGAAACTGAATTATTGTTATTCACAATGAGCTGCTGACTTCAAATCTGATGTAGTGGAGGCTTAACATTTCCAGATAGGAGGAGGACATGTAGAGCTAATGGTTCTAATTTATTTGGACATTTCACCTTGTCATTTTGTCAGTGCGAAACTGAATTGAACCACATTTCATCCTACCTTCGACATTGTATGGCTAGGCAGGGTGCTTGGAATAAAGCAGCAACTCTGAAGATGGCAGGTGAAGAAACCAACTGATGCCTAGGCTGAAGGTGGGAATATGATCGTGAGTGGTCATGGTCTGGAATGAAGGGGAGATGGCATCATAGTAATGTTACTAGACCAGTAATCCAGAGGCCCAGGGTAATGCTCTGGAGGCGTGCATTCAAATCCTAACACAGGCAGCTGGTAAATCTGGATTTGACAGCTATTCTCAATGATGCTGAGCATGGCATTATTGTTGATTGTCATAAAAGCCCATCCTGTTTGCTAATGTCCAACATATGATTTCAGACTCTCAGTAATGTGATTGGCTGTTAACTACCCTCTCGATGGTTTAGCAAACCATTCCAATCAGAGGCAATTAGAAATACCCACATCCTGTCAAAAAGTAAAAGAATGTAAAAAAAATTCTGTCTTTAGCAGTAATTGGGAGGAGTTTTTAAATTTATTTTCATTGCTTCCTCTTATCTCCCATTCTGGATGCATATAGATGGGTAACAATGTATGTTGACAAAAGGCTGAGGAAAATGTCAAATGAAGCATTTTGATCATGGCATAGTATACTCTATGAAATATCAAAACTTAAAATTCTACAAGAATCCAAGCCAGGCATTTTAGGATCATGTCACTTATTATAATTAACAGTTGTAATTGTATTATACCTGTGATGTAGCAAGCCATTTCCAAGGTTCTTCCCCTGAAGCATCATCAATGTAAAATTTGACACCAAATCACACCAGTTTGTCCCACAGATAGATTTTAAGAAGCAACTTAAACTCCTCCCTTCCTCTCCAGCCGTTTATGAAGTGTATTCTAGAGCTTTCAATCAGGTTGGTTGAATGCACTGCTGCTGACAGAGGTGTAATCACAATTGTGCAGCAGGCCAGAATTGGAAGAGCATGGATCTTGGAGAGTTGTTGGGCTGGAGGAGGAGACTTATTGTAGAATTTGGTTGAAGCTGCGGCAAGATAGAAACCATAGATTCATTAAACTGGTTGAATTCTCTGAAATCAAATGATTGTACTATCTTCTCATCTTAACTGCCATAGGGTGGCACAGTGACTCAGTGGCTAGCACTGCTGCTTCCCAGCTCCAGGGGCCTGGATTTTATTCCACCCTCTGACGACTGCCTGTGTAGATTTTGCACGATCTCCCAGTGTCTGTGTGGGTTTTCTGCGCGTGCTCTTGTTTCCTCCCACAATCCAAAGATGTGCGAGTTAAATTGCCTGTAATGTCCAGGAATGTGCATGCTAGGTGGATTAGCCATGGGAAATTCAGGGTTACAGGGATAAAGGCTGAGGAGGAGGGTGGTTCCGGATGGGCTCCCCTTCGGAGGTCAGTGTGGACTTGATGAGTTGAATAGCCTACTTCTACAATTTCTTCCTTGGTGTTAGAACTCTAAAGCAACTGGCCCTGTCAGCACCTTCCCCACGTTTAAGACCAAGCTTGACTTTGGGTTCAGATGTAATTCTCTCTCAGCTTTTGTGATCTGCTTTATTTGCCTTGGCCTTTCCTTTTACTTTCTTGTTTGTACTTGGCTCTTGGTTTTTTATTTTTTCAGATTTAACAACTGCTGCAGTACAAAACATCCTGTTCCTGAGGTCAGTCAGCAGTGACAGTTTTCTTCCCATGTCTCTTCAAAGTTCTATCCACCAGAAAAGCATTGCAATAAAACAGTTCTTAAAATGCTCAAAATTAATATGCAATCAGATTCTGTATAGAGAAAAGGCAGGTTGAGAAATCAAATTTATCACATTCAGCAGAAATGAAGACATTTTGCTGAATGTAACTCCAAAAATATCAGTGAATTTACAGGTATTGACTAGCCCCACATCTCTACCATTTTCAGTATTTGTTCTTGTTCTTGTTCTTCTTTTCTAAGTCACAATTTTGCTTTACAATTTTTACTTCAAATTTAGGTGTCATGACAAATTACTGCTGGTCATGTACAATTTTGATACGAGTGATCCATGTCTGTATTAGCTGGAAATGTTGAAGTCGGGCAGCATCGGTTTAAAGATGGGCAAAAGAATTATAGATTGACTTTTGTCAAAGCTGGGAAAAAGCCAGTGCATTGGCAGGAAAGATTGGGAGCAGAACCAAAGGCAGATTCCATAGTAAAGTGAAAGCAGGAGAACTTAAATGATGAGAATTGGTGGAAGGCAAAAGGACAAGTAAAAAGACCAAACGTGAGTTTTGAATTATAGCAGATTAGGTTGATATAGAGTTTAATCATCTGATGAATGGCAGTAAACATGATTCCACCCAGTGTAGCCCGTGACCAGGAGTATGTGATAATTTTTCTTAATCCTGTCCATTTACTGAATTTATTATTGCTGACGAGTTCTCCTCTATCCTGCAGGTGCGTATTCCAACCCCGCTCAATACCAGTGGAGTGCAGGTCATCTGCATGAAAGGGAAAGCCAAGTACAAGGCCAGTGAAAATGCAATTGTTTGGAAGTAAGTGACCTTTTAAAGTGCATTTAGATTTTCTCGTTGTTCTTGTATTGTAGTGTATTGCAGCAGTTACAAAATAGCTTATCAGGAGTTTAAGAAAAAGTTGAATTGTAACCTGATGTTACAATCCTCGTTGTGAACAAAAACTTGTTTAAAAGCAATATGAATATCTGCACAGATTCGCATGATTTCATGGTTCAAGATGTGTTGTACAAACTAACTAAAAACTACAGAGTGTGTTTTCATGATAAACTCATTGACACATTTGAAAATCACTTCTAGCATTTATGCTACATATTGCACTCACCCCATACATAGCCTTCTGATTACGTCCCAATTCCTCCCAGCGATTCAACAGGCTCTCTTCTTCCTGATGTTACAACAAGGTCAGTGTCTGAGACTGAGACATAATGAGGAGGCCCCAGTATCCTTCCTGTTATCAATCAGTGTTTTTTTTTGTCTTTATGCTCAAAGGCTATTGTTGTACTTTTCCTTCAGATTCTGGTGTCTGTCATTGTTTAATTTCAAGCTGGATTGCTTAAGCAACTTTTCATCTCTCAATATTAACCGTTATAATGCAAGTGAGAATAAAATAAGAGTTGCAAATTTCTTGACAGCTCACCAAGTTTCAATGCTGCTTGATTAAAATAATTCTGAGGAGCTATTTCATATATGTGCATGTGTGTTGCTGGTACTACGTGATCACAACAGTCATTTTAAGATTAGTTTTTAGTCCAAGAAAGTCTCTGGTATTAAACTGAAATGATGAATATTGACTATCAATCACTGCCCTGCTCGGAAATATCCTAGCATAAGCCCCTTCATCAGTTCTCCTGAGTATAATCAAACTGATTTCCAGCGCAAGGTACTTTCTGGTGGCCCTTGGTTCGTTATATCTCCACTGGCCGCACTCTTCAAACAGACACTAAATTCTCACTTAACGTTCTGCTTGGTGCTTAATGCAAGAAATGGTCTCTTTCCAGATCTCTGGGACTGACTGTCGTCAATTCAAGACCAGCTGCCCCTGTGCCAAGATGTAAAAACTAGCACTCACATTCGTTTTTCAGTCTGGGCTTTTGTCCCCTTGGCAACCAAATCACTGGCTTGTTGCTGGATAGTTTTCAATACAATTATTACCTGTACTAGAACCATTTTAAAATAGCATACGTTCACAACCAGTTTACACAACCGTATCTACAATAAGCCCATGATCAGTCACAGACTGGGTTAGATTTAGGCCCAGCAGACGTGCAATGCATGATCCAGTGCTGCAGTTTTCGGTTTCTGAATCTTAAGCCCTTTGAGCTGAATTGGGAAACAGATGTGCACTGTGCATATGTGTTCACTGGGCACTGTACTGAGTCTCTTGCATAGAATATTAGCTTGTCAGCAGCCTAAGAAAGCTTCATTCCATTCTGAATTTAACCTCTGGATCTTGGGATCAATGCACACACTTAATCGTCCAGTCCATCTCTTAAAATATTGGGGAAAAATTTTGTAACTGCATTCTTGAATCAGTTGTGGCAACCAGAATTGACAAAATGGATATTCCATCATGTTTACTTTTTAACAGAATTAGTGGAGTCAAGTGGATACTAGATAGCTCTTGGTACAGTTCCTTGGGGAAGTATTCCCAATGTGCAGAAGTCCTCACATTCATTTCATTTGCTCTGCATGTAACCTTTGGCTTGGATTGGTTTTGTTTTTCTGACCTGTTTAAAAACCGTCTTAACTGGCGAGGTTTAGCTTTAAACAAATTCACATTGGTGCTGTTTGAAGCAGTCATACACTTTGTAGTCATTTCTACAAATGGAAAGGGATCAGTGTTGTATCATACGAAATAACATTTAGTTGCAAGTGTTATTGTTTGGTGTATGCAGTGATAGCAATTCCACTTTGAAAACAGAAGTATTTAAGAGAACTAATCCTTTTTAGAATGACAAGTTAAACTATCAAGCCTAATATATAAAGCCAGTTCTGTTAAGGTCATTAGGAGTTACAGGTGCACCGTTCATTGAAATTGGTGCTAATCCTCTACCACAAGTGAAGTGCTAGTGTCCCTGTCTTTGAACCAGAAGGCCAGGTTCAAGCATCTGCTCCAGAGATGGGCCATAACACAACTAAACAGGTTTATTAAGATTACCTACATTTGCCTGCTCTATCCCATATCTTTTACTACTTTGTTTCCAAAAACCTGTCAATCACTGACTTGAATGACCTCAACGACCAAGCGTTTATAAGCGTTTACAGCCCAACGGTTATAAAATTCTGAAGGTTCATAGCGTTTTGAAGAATTTTCTCCTTATCTCAGCCTTAATAAACTAACCTTCCTCCTGAGGCTTTTCCTTCTCTGAGCAACATCCCAGCATTTACACATGCACTCTCTAAAGAAATTCACATTCTTTTGAAAGAGATTGTGTCTCATTTTTCTAAACTCATTTTGTAAAAAGGGCAGTATACTTGACAACTTTTTACAGAATCATCTCCTCATCCCAGGAACCATCTTGATGAATCTTTCCTGTGAGAATTATGTCTGTTTGTAAGTGAAGTGAACAAAATATGTACACAAAACTCAGGTTATAGGCACAATTGTAGTTAGACTTGACTCTCATACTTCAATCCCTTTGCCATAAGTGCTAGCATATGAATTACTTGCCTGCTTCCTTTACCTGCATGTTAACTTTATGATTCATGTACATATTTGGATCCCTCTGAACATATAAAAAAAAAGTGCCTTTCTGTTAAAGTGGATAACATCATATTTCTCTCTGTCTTGACCTATTTGCTACGTTCCTGCCAATGTACCTAACCAATCTAAAATTCTTTGCATTTGCTAAGCAGTTTTCTTCACTACCTAAATTTTATATTGCCAGTTATTTTTAATACATTTAGTTGCCTCATTTAGGTCATTGATACAGATTGTAAATAAACAAGGCTCTAGCATTGATCCTTGTGATGCCTTATTGGTTACACTATGTTGACCTGAATATGACTTATTTGTTCCTGCTCTCTTCTGTATAAATTAATCTTCACTCTATGCTACTGTTACCCAATCCCATGAGCCCTAATTTTGTTGAACCTCTGTGCAGTGCTTACTGATTTCTGAAAATTTAAACATGCTGTATCCATTGGTTCTATTCTGTTCACTGTATTAGTTTTATCAAAAAAAATTGATTTTACAAGCCAAAGTTCCTTGTCCATGTGCATTCATGTGATTTTTGTTTTTAATAAGTCTTTTTATTGAATTCCTGGCATTTTCACCACTACTGATGCCATGCTAACAGATCTGTTACTTGTGTTCTGTCACTCCCTCCCAGTCTTGAGTTGAGGCTTATTTTAGAACCTAAGGAATTCTGAAAGTTTCTTCCTTTGTATTGTACTGCTAGTCAAATGGCTGAAGCGCTACATCATAGGATGCTTTGTACCCATGTTATGACTTAGATTTGGAAAGCAGGAGGTTACCTTTCATGAATTCCTGTTCAATCATACCTGCAGGATTAAACGAATGGCAGGAATGAAGGAATCTCAGATCAGTGCTGAGATCGAGCTTCTACCCACTAATGACAAAAAGAAATGGGCTCGCCCACCTATCTCCATGAACTTCGAGGCAAGTACAGTTATAACCTGCAGAGCTCTGAAGTAATATATATTTTGTTAACCTAAATACAAATAACCAGGTAGAGATATGTGTATCTTTAATCATATTTTCTCCCTTGTATTTTTCTTTTAACCTTGTGTTAAATCCATTGTTTCTGTCCTTTTAAAATATAGGTTTTCTTCTAGCATTCTTTTTTCCCCAGTGTTTCTACTTTGGGAAATTGAATACTCATTTAGTAGTTATTCCCTTATGATTCACCATCACAGCATATAGCCAGGATCAGGCCAACCAACCCTTGAGTCTGTTCTGTCATCAGTTTTGGCTCTGGCTGATTTTAAGTCTGTTTAGCTGCCCTTGATTCTGTAACTTTGCTCCTAACAAAAATTGTGTTTGAGATTTCTAATTTGACAGCCTTTTGAGGTAGAATGTTCCAGACTTCCACCACCTCTTTTATCCAGATTTTCTGGCCTTGCCCCTAAGTAACTGGGTTTTAATTTAAGTTTTAATTATCCTGGCAGTTTTTAGACTTCAAGATAATGCAGTGTGGAGCTGGAAAAACACAGCAGGCCAGGCAGCATCAGAGGAGCAGGAAAGTTGACATTTCAGGTCGGAAGAAGGGCCCCGTCCTGAAACATCAACTTTCCTGCTCCTCTGATGCTGCCTGGCCTGCAGTGTTTTTCCAGCTCCACAGTTATTTCTGACTCCAGCATCTGCAGTTCTTACTATCTGAGGTTTTAGATTTCTGTCTGTATTATGTCTTTAATAGGTCCACCTTTCCCTTTACTATTCTTTCACAATGAAATTGTAAACTTTTTTGAGATTAGTTTCAATATTCCTTATTTTGTCATATTTCCACTTTCCTGCAAGATTTGGGTTTCAAAGAGTGACAACTGACTAATGTAAATGTGTTCTTTAGCCAGAATTAATGTTTTTATACCATGTTTTATATATTCACTCCGTCCCATTATTCTGCGCAGGTCCCATTCGCTCCATCTGGGCTGAAGGTGCGGTACCTTAAAGTGTTTGAACCGAAGCTGAACTACAGCGATCATGATGTGATAAAATGGGTCCGGTACATTGGACGAAGCGGGATCTATGAGACCAGATGCTGAGAGCAGGGTTTACCCATTAGCCCCCTGTGGCACCCACTGAAACACATCGGACTCTCTCTCCTTGTTGGTCACTACATCGTGCACTTGACATTGCCTAGGAGATGCCAAGAGCCTCATTTATAGGGATGTGGTTGCACCACCGACAATGGAGACACAGTTGACCCACAATCCTGCTTTTGTCTCATTTCGGTTGATTTTTATTGTACTCCTCCCATTGACAACGCCCAGCGTTCAAAGCAGCTCCTTTTCCATGTCCCACTTCACATTCACCTCATAAAATGTATTTTCCAACTATATATGCGTATTGTAGTTCCATAGAACATAGAATGTAACTGGACGTCCCTGGTAGAGATTGAACTGTGTACTGATAGCAATGTTGTAATGAATGTTCTGTGCAATCAAGAGGCACTGCTGGTCCTTCCTTCAAGCTGTGGTTGAATTGCCGAAGTGTCTTTTTTTTTAAATTCTTATTTCTTGTGACCAAAAAATTCTTGTCAGTGTTGCTACTTGTTTTTGGTTGATGCAGTGGGGAGTGTGAGAAAGAGAGAAAGAAAGAAAGCATCAGTTCACTGGCTGATTTTCTTTTTTTGCAAAATCACAAACAGTTTTTTTTTTGCAAAATCACAAGCAGCATCTTGCAGAAATGGCCAGTGGGCAAGGGATGTATTTGGCAGATGGCACCATAAGCGAGGACATCATGAATGATTAAAATCTGAAGTGTTTGGAGAATAGACAAGGGTATTTTGATATGAGGGTAGCTGATTTGAGAGGAGCAGTATGTACTTTATCCATTTGGGAAATGATAAGCTTGTAATACATCTTGACTAATCCCAACTATAATGACCAGGACCTTTATCAGGAAGGACAATGTGAGCCAGAGTGAGTCAGGCTTTTCAAAATAAAAATGTTGGTTAATTAGTAGTCCCATCCACTGTCCATGACATTTTCTCTTTTTTCCCCTAATTGGTCACTCTGGTTTTCACTTGATCCCCCTCTCCATGGAACTAATTGGTGCACATAACGTTACATTACAGCATGAGAGTTTGCATATTCCTACACAGGTCTACTAACAGTAGACCTGAGCTCTATGTGTGAGATCATGGCGATTTCAGTCAGTCGATCACCTAACCCTGCACCAATTTTAGAGAAGGGATGACTTGTAAGGACAATGTGGAAGACTCTCGCCTGTAAATCCTTTTGCTCAATGGTGTGATCGCTCTTTGGCATCTTTTGTGATCGTCCAGTTAATATTAATAAACCATACAGAATCAGTGTAGGTTGTGATTTTATTTCGAAATTTAAATTGTAAATTTATTCTGCATTATAATCTACTGTGATTTTGCAACATCACCCTGCAAACTTTCCTTTTTGCCTTTCAGTTATCTAAAGACTTCAGGATTTTATGGTGATCTTTCTCCTCATTAAATGTCAAAGAGCAGAAGGAGGCTGGAGTTGATATGCAGATCTGTCATAGATTTCCTATAATGTGGAAGCAGGCCATTCGACCCATTGAGTTTACATTGACCCTCCAAAGAGCATCCCATTCCCCCCTCCCCTATCCCTGTAACTCTGCATTTCCCATGGCTAACTCGCCTAGCGTGCACATCCCTGAACACAATGGGCAATTTAGAATGGCCAATCCACCAAACCCCCACATGTTTGGACTGAAAGGAAATGGGGACAATGTGCAAACTCCACACAGACAGTTATCTAAGACTGGAATCATTAAAAGGACAGATGTTACATGAAGATATGGCAGCTATATAAAATGATCAAAGAATGGATTATGGTAGCTAGGGGAACAAATTCTACTCACTACAGTGGTTAGACCTAGGGGCTGTAGATGCAGGTTTAAATATTTAAAAAAAAAAAAATTCCAGGAGAATATTTAATTCAACTGAGGGAAAGGATATTGCTGAGAGTGAGATTAACTTTGTGATTGTTTGAGGCTGCTGCTTGGATAGATGGGTGAAGAGGTCTCAGTTTGGGGTGGAAAAATTTAAGTTGGTGGAAAGTCTATTTTGGTGTAGCTCCTATTCATTTATGCAAGATAGTTTAGAAGTGCTTTTTTCTGGGAAGTTGGGCAAGATTTAAATTGAGGTGATTGGTTCAACCTGGCCTCTGGAGCACTGTCGAAAGGGCCACATTGTCACCTTTTGGGAAAGATTACAGTAATTGCCAATTAGGCACTTGACAGTTAAACCACCAGAAAGCCAGTGATCTCTGGTCATAATTTACCCAACCTGAGGCCTCGGATCACCCAGGTATGGTGGAATCATGGGATGAGAGCTACAGGGGTGGGGTAATTGGCAACAAGTGCAGGAGGTGGCTTCCTTATGCTGCATTCCTCAATCGGGTGCTGAGAGCTCTTGAGAAAGAGAGGAGGAACAGCAGCATCTGAAACAATGAGTGTGTACGTGGAGACAGTTTCATAAAGAGAAGAGTGGTCTTGTATGAAGAGGGCAGCCCTGGGAAGAGGTAGAAACACAGCATGAGAAAGTCCCTTCAATCTGTTTCTACCTGTCAGATTTGAAGTATGACATTACAGGTGATTGGTGAGTATTTCTTCCATGACTCTTTTCAATGCCTAAGTGATTTAAATCAGGAGACATTATTGCAGCTGGAGTATAGTTAAGAAACTGTTAAAATATGTAACATCCAAATGAATGAATTAAATAAAAGAGATGGCTGGGCAGGTAATGTGTTGCAGCTGTAGTATGTGGGAGCTGGTGGATGTTAGTGCTATCTCTGATGACAACATCTGCAGTAAGTATAAGCTGCTTGTGGAACTATGAACTGGAGTCTGAGCTGTGGACATGAAACACCAGGTAGTGGGTAAGACACTTAGACACTATTTCAGGAGACAGTCACACTCCTTCGATTTATTACGTCAAATTTGGTTCATGATCAGGAATAGTAGAGTGTTATTGCAAGGTTCGGTAGGTATTGGAATCCAAAATTTAACTTTGGAAGAGGGTTCAGCCAGTTCCCTGCTCCCAGTGGAGGTTCTTGCTCCTCGTGTGGATGAAGAACTTGTAGGAATGGAAGGAATGATTTTGTGTATTTGTTGTGCCTAGATCTGAATGACATAGGTAGAAGGTTCTGCTGAGGGATAAGCAGCTCAGGACTAAATTGAAAAAGAGAACCACAAAGGTAATAATCTCTAGGTTACTACGTGATCCATGTGTAAATTGGTATAGAGTAAGTAGTTACAGAGAGATAAATGCATGGCTCAAAGATTGATGTGGGAGAAATATGGTTCCAATTCACGGGGAAATGGCACTAGTACTGGGGAAGGAGAAAGCTGTTCTATCAGGATGGATTTCATTTGAACCACATTGGGACCAGTGTCCTTGCAAATCATGTAACTAGGGTAGTAAACTAGTTAGTGGGAATGGTAATTTCAAATGAAAGGAAGTTTCAAGAATAAAAATAAACAAGTGATCGAAGTTAGTGAAGAGGAGAATTATTACAGTATGATTGGAAAGGTACAATAAATATGCAGAAGAGTGCATCAGAAATTAGAACCAGAGTAGAGTCATAGTCATACAGCATGGAAACAGAACCTTCAGTCCAACCAATCCATGTCCAGCCAACCATGTTCCCAAACTAAACTAGCCCCACCTGCATGCGCTTAGCCCATATCCCTCTAAATCTTTGCTATTCATGAACTTATCCAAATGTCTTTTCAACATTGCAACTTTTAGATCTAGTAACGTGTAATAAGGTAGAGTTAATAAGAGGCCTTCTAGTTAAGGATCCTCTGGGGAGTAACAATCATAGCAAAGAAAAATTTCAAACGCATATGAGGGAGAGAGACCTGGGTCTCCAACCTATGTCCTCAACTTAGGTCAGGGCAATTACAAAGGTATGAAGAAAGAGTTCTAAGTTGGGCTGGGAAAATAGACGAAGGGGAACGTCAGTGGATGAGCAGTGGCAGATACTTGAGCAGAGATTTCACAACGTTCAACAAAAATTTATTCCAGTTCAAAAGAAGGATTTGATGAGGATGAATCATTCACAGGTAACAAAAGCAATCACGGAAAATAGCCAAATAAAAACATATATAAAGTAGCAAAAACAATTGGTGGGCCAGTTGATTTAGATTGTTTTTAAGAATCAACAGCAGATGACTAAAAAGCCAATGAAGAGGCAGAGAATAGATTACCAAAGGAAATTTGTTTTTAAAATTTTTAAATTTGTTATATAAAAGAGTAGCTGAAGTAAGTGTGGGGACCATTGGAGGATGCAATTGGGGAATTAATGCAGAGCAGAGTAATGATGCAATTTAAACCAATATTTTGCTCTGCTTATCTGTCATCTAGAAATGTTTGTAGTGTCCTCAACATGTGCAACAATCTGTTCATTGGAAGGAAACTTCTTGCAACTGTCTAACAAGAGGGACAAAGTATTTGACAAACTAATTCAACTAAAGGCAGACAAGTTGTCAGGACCTGATGGTCTGCATTTAATGGATTTTATGGAAGTGGCTGCAGAGGTATTGGAAGCATTGGTTAAAATATGCCAGGACTTACTAAATTCCAGGAGGGTTCTAGTGCGTGGAAAACCATTAACATAATGCCCCTGTTCAAGAAAGAAGGGATACAGAAAGCAGGATACTCCAGGCCTGTTAGATTAACATTTGTTGTTGTGAAAATGCTAGAGTCCATAATAAAGGAAGAAATAGCATGACTTTTTGAAAAGCTTAAGACAATTAAACAGAGTCCGCATAGTTCTGTGAAAGGGAAATTATATTTGATAAATTTGCTGGAGCTCTTTGAGGATGCAACAAGGAGAGTTCATAAAAGGGAAATAAATGTACCATTTATGACTTTCCAGATGGTCTTCAATAAGGTGTCACATATAAGGTTATTGCACAAAATAATAGTTCATAACATTGGGGTAATGTATTAGCATGGAGCGAGGGTTGGGTAATACACAGAAGACACAAAGTTGGTATAAACAGGTCTGTTTCAAGTTGGAAAGACTTAACTAGTGAAATGCCACAAGGATCAATCTGAGGAATTAATTAATTTACCATCTTCATTAATGACTTGGAGGAGAGAACAGACTATAATGTATCCAAATTTGCTGCTGATACAAAAATAGATGGGAAAGCATGTTGTGATGAGGACGTACAGACAGGTTGAGTGAGTGGCAAAATACTTGGCAGATGAAAATTAAAGTAGGAAAGAATGAGGTCATCCTCTTTGGTAGGAAGACTTAAAAGTCATTATTATTTAAATGGAGAGAGACCCCAAGAAATGCAGTACAGATGAATCTGGGTGTCCTTGTGCATGAAACACAAAATTAACATGCAGGTGCAGAAAGTAATTAAGGCGATTTGAATTTTGGCCTTTAATACTATATTGGAAATATGAGGAACTCTTATAGGTACAGGACATTGATGAAACCATACCTGGGGTACAGTATACAGGTTTGATCTAGTTACTTAAGAAAGGATCTAATGGCGTTGGAGGCAATTCTAAAAAGATTCACTGGACTGATTCCTGGGATGATGGGGTTGACTTATTAAGAATGGCAAAGCAGGTTATGTCTTTATTCATTCGAGTTTAAGAGGATGAGAAATGATCTTATTGTGTACAGGATTCGAAAGGGGCTTGACAGATTAGATGTTCAGAAGGTGTTTCCACTAGTTGGGTAATGTTGAACTGGGGAACATAGTTATAGAATAAGTGGATGCTAATATGTCAGATATTTTTAGAGGCATGATCACAAAGAATTTAAAGAGGAGGTAGAAAGACTTTTGAAATGTCGCAGAATTGAGGGTATAATGAGTTGGCATGAAAGAGGAGTTGAGACCTGCTATAGATCAGCTATGATCTGTTGAATAGCTGGGCAGGCATGAGGGCTGAATGGCCTATTCCTGCCTCTATTTCTTATGATCCTCCCTCCACCTACCTGTAAACAACCCCAAGAGGATTTGTTTTTCGACCTTCTGCATGCTGGGTCCTCTGGCCCCTGCTGGGTGAATACCAGCTGCAGCAGAATGAGAGCTGTAAGATGGCATTAATTGCCTATTTAAACACCTCAACTGGCAGTGGGATGAGAAAGCTGTCCATAAATCTATAGACTTAATCACGATGGAGATGGGATGCTGGCAGAATCTCCAACTACTGTCTCATTAAATCCATACCAACTCCAAACTCACCCTTGCAGAGAGGATTAAAATCCCACCTGATATATAGTTAACATTGAATTCTGTTTCAATGGTACCTTAAAAAGAGTGGTACTAGCTATTTTTAATAAGC